CTTTGTTTATGACCTTGAGGAAGTATTTTTTTTTCTTTAAATATTTTAAGGCATTAATGTCAGAAAGTACAGATGGTATTTACAAAAATAGTATTACTGGACCATTCTATCCTAGACCGTCTAGTATCACTGATTACACTTTAACAATCAGAAGCTTTGTTTTCTCTGATTCCCAAGGTCCCTATACATACAACCAACCCTTCACATCATCACCTAAACAGAGAGGGTCAGGGAACTCACCCTAAAATTAGTGCTGAAAATATGAGGGTAACATCGAGCCACCAAAAGAATGCACTTGACACATTTGCAAAGTAATTCTGGTGTATCCACGTTTTCAAGAATGGACTGTAGGCTGGTCATTACAAGCTGAAAAATAAAAGTTTTAAATCATGAGTATTCAAAACAGAGAGAAAACAAGCATACTGGGTTCATTATTAGTAACTTTATCTAAAATTGACTATAGTACCAAAGAAAACAAAGTTCACAGTTTTAGCTCCAAATAAAGTTGAAAGCATTTCATTCCACTAAGATTAGGCTGAAAATAAGTACTGTTTCATTGTATTTAATGTCTCTTAAAATATTTCCTAAGTAACGTCCGTTCACATTATTCCTAAGTGCTCTGTTTAATACCATGGACTTGATTATATTTCAAGTATAAAACTAAGATGTGCTTGGAAAACTTTTCCTTAAAGTACTACAATTACTCTCCAATTCAAAATCCATAGCAAATTTTATGTAATTTATGCTTTAAGATATTAGCACTTGCTTCAAATTTGAAAGACAGAGAGATTAACATGGCCCCAACACATGAATGACAGACATGCGGGCTCATGTCACCACTACTATATACCGTTCTATTTTTTAAACAAATGTAAGGCAGACCACTGATACAATTATCTTGCAGCTGTCAGAAACCATTTTTTTCCTAAAAAGAAAAGCTCTTCTTTACCAAAAAAAAAAAAAAAAATGAGGTTGTAACTATAGAAAAAATGCTAGAATTGGAAAAGCACCTAACATTTTGCAGTTAGAATCTATATGGGTAAAGAATACGAATGGGTGCCAAAATCACTGAGTGAAATATACTAAAAAAAAAGGATATTCAGAAGGTGTCAAGGTTATCATGCCCAGATTACTGACCAATTACAAAGGGAGAAAAACAAGCCTCCACAATGGGAAGACTCTGGTGGTCATCACCTCAACCAGGTGAGTACTCTTTCCCTCTGACAGTAAGACAATCTGCAGTTATGTGCCTGCTGGTGGTGGGTTGCAAGAGTAAGGATGAACCCATGAAGGACTCATGACCAAAATGTTTAAAGTCAGGAAAGAGCAATCAAACGCACAAAGTAGAACATTCCAAAAATAAGAACAAAAAGATGTAAACCATTCTAATTGAGAGAGAGTACAGAGGCACGCTACCAAACAATACACGGGTCCTGATGGAATCCTGGGTCAGGTAAGACAAAAGCTGTAAAAGGTATCTTAACGGCAGAAGTTTAAATTTGGACTGCATTATGTAATAAAATTTTCTTAGGTATAATAATAATTTTGTTGTTACATAAGAGAATAGCCTTATTCTTATAAGATGCATGTTGAGGGTGAACTATCGTGAAGCGTGTAATTTATTTTCAAATGGTTCAACAAAAAAGGATGCACTCCTGTGTGTGCAGAAATAAAACAAATGTAGCAAAATGTTAGTAAGTAACAAATCTAGATAAAGGACATATGGGTATTATACTGGTCCACGTTTTCCCATGGATTTGAAAATTTTCAAAACAGGGGCACCTGGGTAGCTCAGCTGGTTGAGTGTCCAACTCTTGGTTTTGGCTCAGGTCAATCTCATGTTTGTGGGATCAAGCCCTGAGTTGGGCTCCTTGCTGACAGCCTGGAGCCTGCTTGGGATTGATTCTCTCTCTCCCTCTCAGTCCATCCCACTCACACTCGTCCGCGCACCCTCACACTCTCTCTCAAAATAAATAAATAAACTTAAAAAAATAGTTATAATCTTTTTTTTTTAAGTTTATTTTTGAGAGAGACAGAGACAGACAGCACATTAATAGGGGAGGGGCAGAGAAGGAGAGAATCCCAAGCAGGCTCCATGCTGTCAAGCTCTCTGCTGTGAGATCATGACCTGACAGACACTTAACCGAGTGAGCCACCCAGGTGCCCCAGAATATAACTATTTTTGAAAGTGACTTTAGTAAAATAAAGCATGTCATGAATTGTAAAGAGCGCATATAAATAAAAGATAACTGATATTCTAAAACCATACCAAACTCTAATTTTTAAAAACATGATTAGTCAACAAAAATTTAATTGCTTGTAATTTTGCTCAAAATTAAATTGAGAGTGATCTTTTAATATATTCAGATACACCAAAGTGATTATCAAACCTAAAAAGTCCTAGAATGAGTGCTGCTGTTCAGTTTGTCTCCCTCAAAAACCATTGAGTATCCTCCTATCCAGCTTCCTCATCAAGTCTCTATTTTCATATCAGCAAATGATTCTGTTACTAAGCAAATTCAAAGGAAAGCTTCAAACATGCTAAAAGATTAAAAAAAAAAAAAAAACTTTTTTTAAGTTTTTTATTTCAGTAATCTCTACCCCCAACATGGGGCTCAAACTCACAACCCCGAGATCAAGAGTCATATGCTCTTCCGACAAGCCAGCCAGGTGCCCCTAACTTATTTTAAATCTACCTTTAATGTGTATCCTTCACTCAAACTCAGAAAGAGAAATGTTACTCATATCATATTTACTACCAGTAAATAACCCCTTTTCTAAGTTTCCCTTCTCCAAGCTTCCCTCCAAAAACATTGTTGGGAAGTTGTTAAAAAATTTTCTTCCCCAGTACATCGGTTTTCCCCTTCATTCTTACCTGCATTACAGATGAAAAGGCTTTCTTTTCTCCTACAGTCTCTAATGCTTTGTAGGTGGCACATAAGTAGAGGAGTTTAACTTCATCTTTTGTAGATGAGCTAAATTTGCTAAAAATCCATTTGAAGATCTTCTCAGCCTCATAGCTCAGAGAAGCACAAAGAAGGCCAAGACAGCAAGCTCCCTCCTGTCTCAACTCCTGAAGCAATTTGCTACTGTTTATTTCAATGCAAACAAAACAAAACACACAAAAGGCTTAACATTTCAAAGATGACAAGAATGACACATTTTACAAAAGAATGTCTTCAATGATTTTTCAAATTTTTCTATTCAAACTACATAAAAGGTTGAAATTTTATCTTTAAATGTGTTCTCTATTCTATCCCAGTACCCAAAAGCATCTTTGTTAGACATTAGATTTTCTTTTGCAGGATCAATTATTTACAAACAGTAAGGAAAGGGCCAGAGATACTAAAATTCAGCCTTCAAATTCCATCTCAAACTACATTAAATGATTCACAGAAAAGGGCAGCAACAAAGGATCAGATAAAACATACTACAAATAACTATATACAATGTAGTGTTCAGTAGGTAAGGACTATAAGATAGGAAATGGTAACAGTTAAAAAACGCAACAAACTTAAAAGGATAACAGTACTGATTTAAGTATATTAATAACTATATAAAATGAAACCATCAAAAAGCAGTAAGGTTCGTGACCTGCTGAGATGAGTTTTTGGTGCTTTCCAACACTGCAATTCTTTGGGAATCACCATACGAAGAATAGACTGCACACCTTTGTGGAGAACCCCAGTAGCCTCGTAGAACAGATGGTGTGAATGCACTGTTGCCCAAAGAAGGAAGCTCCCTTTCACCTCTATTCTCTAAGCAGTTTCAAAATTCTCTAGTTTACAAAAGGTAATTGCATTCATTCATGCCAGCATTAAGAGTCTACGTCATTCCACAAGTCAATGCTCAATTAGTCAAGTTGACAAATTAGGGAAAAAAAAAAAAAAAGAATGGCATTTCTTTTCAAGTGGATTCCATTAATACTCAATGGCAATTAACATATAAATGCTTTAACACCGATAAAGATGGCAACACAATGAAACATTTAAATATTCATAAATGAAGCCACCAATGAGTTTATCTTCTTGTATATTTTTAAATAATTTCTAAAAATGCATTTTAAAAACTTAAAATTACCCATAGTTACTTACCTTTCATTAAGCACATCATGTACAGCAGCCAAGATATTATCCAATTGTTTAACTAGTACCTTTAAAAAAAAAAATTTTATAAAAAATTTGAATTCCTATACTTTCAGGAACACTGTATACTTTTTACTCATGTTCCCCTCCAAATTCTAATCAAACAGCACACCTTCCTTTTCTTATTATTCCCAGTCCCCAATTATCAGGAGTGTTACAAATATCCTTTCAGATTCTGAAATGTATCCGTTCCTATGTACCACCATGATCATCAATGAAAAAAATAAACTCAAAAAGCTTTTTTTACTTATGCTCAAAAAAAAAAAAAAGTGACGGATGGAGAGGTGAAAAGATAAATGACAAAGCAACATGTCACATATGACACACATAATGACAGAATTTAGATGGCAGACATATGATATTCAATTTCAATTTTCCATATATTTGAAATGTCTCATAATAAAATGGGGGGGAGGCAGAAAACTTATTTGAACCAAATATTATTTGACTCACCATGCCGTTCTCATTAATTTTTTCCTGCTCCACAACAAGTTCTTAATTTCACATTAGGAGAATTACTCAGAGTGTATTTGTAACTGCTCCTGAACTTTTTTCTTTCAAGAGTTTTTCCATTTATTTAGCCCTGGCCACTAGGGCATACCTACCCATGAATATAATATGTAACCTCCACCCCAACTTCACATATGAAAAACAAAGAGACAGTCTGTCCTAGCATACAGAAAAACAATTCTGAGGGCAAAAAAATAAATGGACTAAACGTTAAAAGCACTTTATTGCAGAAGATACCAATGTAGATCCAACAATGGCAGGTAAATTACACAGCAGGGCCATTAAGTTCTCGATCACCATAATACAGGCCAAGTCAACCAGGAATAAGGAATCCCTGCCATTTTCTCCTTAGAACCAAATCTTTTCCCTTCTTAAACCACTCCAGGTAGCATTATCTACTTTATTATGGAAACACAAAGTTATCAACTTTCTATACTGTACTCACCAACTTATTTTCTGGTTGCTGAATAAATTCTTTCAACTGCTTTACAGTAGCCAGTCTTCGGTCTCTGTCATCTTCCCGGGTGATCCTCCGAAGAAGATTCGACAGTCGAGACTCATCAGAATAAGACATCGATCGCTCTGTGAAAATAAGCATTTGTTTCTCAGTGAGCATCCCTTGTCATTAAAAAAGGGAAGAGAGGGGCGCCTGGGTGGCGCAGTCGGTTAAGCGTCCGACTTCAGCCAGGTCACCATCTCGCAGTCCGTGAGTTCGAGCCCCGCGTCGGGCTCTGGGCTGATGGCTCAGAGCCTGGAGCCTGTTTCCGATTCTGTGTCTCCCTCTCTCTCTGCCCCTCCCCGTTCATGCTCTGTCTCTCTCTGTCCCAAAAATAAATAAACGTTGAAAAAAAAAATTTAAAAAAAAATAAATAAATAAAAATAAAAAAGGGAAGAGAAGGGACGCCTGGGTGGCTCGGTCGGTTAAGCATCCGACTTCGGCTCAGGTCATGATCTCACGGTCCGTGAGTTCGAGCCCCGCGTCGGGCTCTGTGCTGACAGCTCAGAGCCTGGAGCCTGTTTCAGATTCTGTGTCTCCCTCTCTCTCTGCCCCTCCCCTGTTCATGCTCTGTCTCTCTCTGTCTCAAAAATAAATAAACGTTAAAAAAAAATTTTTTTTTTTTAAAAAAAGGGAAGAGAAGTTCTGGTTTGCCACTTCCCTAGCAGCGGCATGCCTTGTACATGGTAGCTGGTGATCAGACATTTGTTGAACTGAACGTGTGATTGAGGTTCACAAAAACGATAACGTGAACAAGAGACAAACAGAAACCCTCCAGCCCAAATATTTCAAAGTACGTCAAAAATCACAGTACACTGAACAATAAAAGTTCAACTGAATGCAGGTCCCATCACACTTTTATTTGTCACTATAAACCAAATTCCATCAGAGTGCTGGGCACAAAGCAGACCCTCAAAAAAGATAAACCTAAGCAAACACCTCATTCCAGAGGACCAGCTGAGAGAGAAAAGAGGATTAGAAATTACTTTCTTCAGATCTATTCCAAACTCTTCAACATGCAGCATGAGTACAGGTAAGAGACTTCTACAGATTACGGATAAAGTCTCGACCAGGCAGAAGGAGGCTATATGCTTCCATTTCTCACTTGGTAACCAGTGGAGGGAATTCTCTTGGTCACATTATCATCATTTTCCTAAGACAAAGTTTTTGTGAACTGCAATCACACATTCAGTTCAACAAATGTCTAATCACCAGCTACCATGTGCAAGGCATGCTGCTACTAGGGAAGTGGCAAACCAGGACTTCTCTTCCCTTTTTTAATGACAAGAACAAATAAGGAAGCTCAAACAACGCTGGTTACTGCCAATAAAATACATTTAAGTACTAAATTTTTCTTTTTAAATTTTCAGCTGTGCATTGGTTATTGATTAACCAATGTACAGTCAAACTAAATTAAAGGCTCTGATAGTTTCATTTCTAAGGCATGAAAAATTTTCGATAATAAAACTAATTATCTGAGAGAAGGATAGGATTTTTTTAAGACCCCTGGCCCAGTGAGTAGTTCAGTATAAATGGACACTGAAAATGTCATTAGGTTAAAAGCCAAGAAAACTAAGCTCTATTTACAACTCTGCCACTGGCCAAGTTACTTAACTCTGAGCCTGCGAGGAGAAAGAACTGGACTAAATTAAATTAGCTTTGGGGTCACCTTCTAGCTTCTAGCATACCAAGGTCAAGGACATCAAACACTTTTTAAAAATCAGCACACCCTTTGACTAGTGGGTCCACATCTGAAAATTTATCCAAAATAAATCATTTTTTAAAAGCCATACACACACACACACAAGCTGTATGCATAAAGATACTTGCCAAGATACACACAACACACACACATACACACACCCCATGGAAACAAATGGTCATAACTAAAGGACCTAAGAGTGACTATATCCAACAAAGTTTTTACGTCAGAAACTTCAAAAATTTCATGCTTAGCTTTACCAACAAAATAAATTTCTTCTAGAAAAATAATGATCATTACCTGTAATCATCATTCAAGGCACTTTACCTATTCAGCGGGGCTGTGTTACAAGGCAGAAGGTGGGATCCATTTATTTAACTTTAGAAAAGTGCCCACTCCTTTTATAACCATATTGCCTACAGACCCTAGAGTTAAAGGACTTGTGAGAGCCCATCACACACCATACATTCATCATCTACTATAATCAGGAAAATCCCTTCTTTAGATCTTAGCTAGTATTCTAATCTTAAGAGAATTCTCTGGAAAGTGTAGTCTAAAAAGTATTAAAACCTTTCCTATGAGAATTTAGTCTAAGAAACAGTTCACAAAAGAATGCCAACAATTATCACCTATACATGTTTTTCAACTTGAAGTAAACTAACCAACTCATGTATGTGCAAAACATTAGTAAGAAATAAGGTGGCCAGGAAAAAGAGGAGATTTGTGGAGGCATTTGTGACTGGTCCCCAGTTTGCCCAATCTTACCCTGTGATTTCCTCATGTCTTTGATGGCTAACGCACGACTGCCATGCTGAATACTGGTGAACTCAGGGCTGGTCACATTGTTAACTCTCAGCTCTTGCCCCAACGACTTCCGACCATAAGTATTTTCCCCAGATCCTCCATTGACACTGTAGCCACCTACAACCAGCAATATTTACATTATTTTAATAGGGCTCTTTGTTTTACTCAATCAATTCCCGATAGTCCAGGATCTTCCAACCCCTCTGCAAGCAGCTCAACCAGCCTCTGTTTCTCCTACTCTCCCCCTGTGCTGCCTGCCCTGAAGTCCTTTTGGTTTCATTTTGTGCACCCAAGGAAGAAGAGAAATGAAAACCAAAGTCAGATTTTGCACTTTAAAACTTTTTAGGGGCACCCGGGTGGCTCAGTCGGTTAAGCGTCCGACTTCAGCTCAGGTCATGATCTCACAGTTTGTGAGTTTGAGCCCCACATCAGGCTCTGTACTGACAGCTCAGAGCCTGGAGCCTGCTTCAGATTCTGTGTCTCCCTTTCTCTCTGCCCCTCCCCCACTCACATTCTGTCTCTTTCCCAAAAATAAACATTAAAAATTAAAAAAAAAATAAAAAACTTTTCAGGGGCGCCTGGGTGAGTTAGTCGGCTGAGCATCTGATTCTTGGTATTGGCTCAGGTCGTGAGATCAAGCCCAGTGTCAGACTCAGCAATGGGCATGGAGTCTACTTAAAATTCTCTCTCACGCTCCCTTTGCCCCTCCTGACTCATGTACATGTGCTCTCTCTATAAAAATTACCAAAAAAACCTTTTAGAAGTTTAGAGGACAGACTAGTCAGGAAACCTCAGCCTTTATGATAATACTGTATTTTGGGCAGCAAGGAAACCACGTTATGTGTATTCTAATGTATGAAAAGAATTTAAAAAATTTAAAAAAGGGGGGGGTGGCCCTGGTGGCTCAGTCAGTGAAGCATCTGACTTCAGCTCAGGTCATGATCTTTTGGTTCACAAGTTCAAGCCCCATGTCAGGCTCTGTGCTGACAGCTCAGAGCCTGGAGCCTGCTTCTTGGATTCTGTGTCTCCCTCTCCTTCTGCCCTTCCTCTCTTTGTTCTCTCTCTCTCTCAAAAATAAACCATTTAAAAAAATTGTTTTAATGTACGAAAGAACATTTAAATTTTTTCTTTTTTTGTTTTAAATGTTTGCTTATTTTTGAGAGAGAGAGACAGAGCACAAGTGGAGGAGGGGCAGAGAGAGAAGGAGACACAGAATCTGAAGCAGGCTCAAGGCTCTGAGCTGTCAGCACAGAGCCTGATGCAGGGCTCAAACCCATGAACCACGAGATCATGCCCTGAGCCAAAGTCAGACGCTTAACCGACTGAGCCACCCAGGTGCCCCACATTTAAATTTTTCTAAATGAAGGGGGTAAATTTATTATGAAGTTTCAAAAACAGCACTGTAAAAATATTTATATTTAAAAAAAATTTTTTTTGATGTTTCATTTATTTTTGAGAGAGACTGAGCGTGAGTGGGGGAGGGGCAGAGAGAGGGAGACACAGAATCCAAGAAGCAGGCTCCAGGCTCTGAGCTGTCAGCACAGAGCCTGACACGGGGCTTGAACCCACGAGCTGTGAGATCATGACCTGAGCTGAAGTTGCATGCCAAACTGACTGAGCCACTCAGGTGCCCCAATATTTTTATTTTAAACATATTAAAAGAAAAAAGTAGGGGAGAAAGAAAGAGGGAAAGAGGGAGCAAGAGGAAGGCTGGCAGGTTAAAAACCAAACAAACAAAAAAAAACATGCCTCTAACAGTAAGAAAGCATATATACCCTTTTCATCATTCTGAATGTCAGTGTGAACTCTGGTATCATCGTGCCTTTGCCGAGACACGACAGCTGAATTGGAAGGTTGCAGTCCATAAGAAGAAGGCCCACCCCTATCTCTGGATGAAGAATATTTTAATGTATCTGGGTCGGCTGATGCACTGTCAGTTCTGTAAAGAGAGAAGAGCATGAGATTAAACTTTAAACAAATATTTTAATAGCCCAAATCATACATCTTTTCATTCAAGACTCTCCTACCATTCTAATTTTTTTCATTACTATTATAAATAAGCACTCCAATTTCAAATGAATCTTTCAACGGGGAAAGGATTATCAATGAATGAAATGCTAGCTTTCAGCCCCTTCTATTTTATAGACCCATTCAGACACACGCATTAACTACCAGGATTAGAGTGACCAACTCATCCTGCTGTGCTTGAGAGTTAACGATTTTAGCAGTGAAATCTGGTGTCTGAGGAATCCCCTCAGTTCAAGGCAAACTGAGACAGCTGGTTACCCTGGTCCACGATTCTCTTCACATGATGTGATAAAAGGAATTCTTCCTAAGCTCTCCTCCTAGGAATGGTTAATCAGTGGAAAAATTACCATCTTCCCAGTCGTAAAAATAAAAAGCACAGGCAATATATCAGGCAAGGGCAATGTGACATTCCCTCTCTCTCTCCCCTGAATTCCTAACTTGATTATTTGGTGGGAAAGTAATTATAGAATGATATTTGAAGGCAAGCTCGATAGGATATAAGAAAACATTACCCAGAAAATAAGATTATTTTAACATACTGGAGACTTCACTGAAGACTCCTAAACTCTAGAGACTACCTATTAAAATTATAAAGAGTGAGAAAAATAAAAATAAGGTATCAGTAATCCAATGAAGCTGAATTAGAAGGCTGCAGTCCATAATCTACTTAAAAGTCAAGTACTGTCTAGAATAATCGCTGATACTTAGACATTAATAAACAAGTAGTGCAGGCCAGGGTAAGAGTAGTCCTTATCCTTACGTAAGGATCAGCTCTATGCCTCAGTGTCCTCATCTGTAAAGCAGGGAGCTGTGTTTCATGACTTCTCATGAGCCTTATTCCTCCAGCCATCAATCCTAAAGCATCAAGAAATAAGACCACACTACTCTACAACAGCATATGAAAATACCAAGAAAGAAGCTCCTGTCCTATTGATACTACTTCTGAAAGGAATAACTTTCTTACAAATAATCACTTTTATGATATGTACTAAAAACACCTTCTGAACCCACAATTATTTGGGAAACTTAAGGATACTGGCCAAGAGCAGTAACTAACCTATTTCTCAACCCCCATGGCTCTTCCCTCATATATAAAAGTGACTTCAGTGTTTGTGTATATATTTCAATTTATCATCTTTTCTCCACCCCCACCCATAAAAATACTAATCATGCAACTCTGAATAAGCTTAAACACCCTGATCTATATTTAAACCACTGTTAATACAGAATGCAAACAATAGGTCCAATGAAACTTGGATAAGTGACACAAATCTAAATTATTCCTAAAGTCTGTTAATCTGAAACGTGATAAAATTTCGTAACCTTAGCCTACTACAATAACTAAGGCTCCATAATGGAGTATCTTCTTCAAACATTCAGGGTTCACTTGTCGACAAGGCTCAGTACTTCCAAGGTGTGGAAAAATAAAATCTATGGAATTTCAAGAAAAAAAATGTGTGAGGATTTTTTTTCTAAGCATACTAAATCTGTAAGCATTCAAATACCATTAACACAAAATGGAGCATGAGAGCTTTTTAAAACGAATGTAATGGCATCCCCCGTGTATCTAAAAATAGCACACTGAGTGCGTACCTATAATAAACCATTACATACCATAAATTTCTGAAAGGGAATTGAAAAATAAAAGAGAGCTTAAGAGCTTTTCGGACAGATTTTCAACTCGTCTATACACATGGCACCTAGCACAACCTGGAAAAGTAAGATGTTAGCAAGATAACAAAAATCTACCAATATTTAAATATCTGAATTTCCTGCTTAAATTATGTTTATATATTACATATACTACTTTTACCATTAAGAGTTAAGTATGTGTATCACTTTTCTGGTGACATAGCAGTAAACATAAGGCAACAGAGAATATGAATTAAAAAAAAGATCTGGGCTCAAATCCCGGCTCCACACTGAAAAGGTAAGTGGGACTGTGCACAAGGTACTTAGTCTCTAAGCCTCAACTGTTTCTTGCATAAAATGGAGATAATACCTATCTAATGTGTAAAGCTGTTGTGAGGCTTAAATAAGATAATGGATTCGTAAGACATGCTTAGCTTGCAGGGAATGCTCAAAGTTATTAAGACCATAACACTAAATAAACTCAAGATTTCCAGTCTAACAAACAAATCATACATTAGTTCAAGAGCACAGGAATACAATTAAACAAGCTTTCACATCCAATATATAGCAGCCGATTTTAAATTCTTCATGGAACAAATTAAGCAATCTGCTACCAACAAAACTTCCCAATTTATTAGAAATACAGGTTTTAAAATCCCATGAGTTATGAACACCAAGTATCCCACCCCCATCCCCCACTGGGAGTCTGGGTTTTCAGAATAGAACAAAAAAATTCACTGGGGTGGAACTACTGTCTCAGAACTGTCTAAAAACTCACTAGTTGCCAAGTTCTTTTAATACAAACTGATCAAAACATTTCCAACCAGAATTCAAGTTATAGGTAGTTTGAACCCCAAAGCACAAAATGGCTCAGCATTTATATGAAATCTCTATTTTTTAATATCTAGGCTGCTTAGGTCTCAAAAAAAAAGTCAGTATCCGGCTGTTAGCACCAACAAGACCACCCAGTCCAATAAATAGAAAACTGTTAACGAACGGAAATGAGCACTTAAAATGAAGCAATCAAAGGCATAAAATACAGATTTGAATTCAAAGAGGCAGGCATAAATGTTAAGCCAGTTATAAGAGCTGAAAAAGCTATCATCTGCCAGCATTAGTGTCTCAGTTTAGTGATAAGAGAAAATGTATCTGTTAAAACTAAGAATCATACTAGCAAGGATCCAAAAATACCTCCACAGCCCCTTTAATACTCTAAAAATATTATGGAGAGAGAGAGAGAGAGAGAAAAAAAAAAAAAGAAATGCATAAATTTCCCCCAAATCATTAAACTGAAGTTAAAGCCTGATGATGTACATGCCACATGAGAGGTAAGTTTCTAAAGCTCATACCTCAAAAATCGCATACTGTATAATATGGAGCCTTTGTGATGTTTTGCATCAAGTCAATCTGTAAGACAGTAGTTACAATATTAGTGAAGACAGTGGGTTAAAACATTTGTTGTTCAAACATGAAGCAAATATCACTCATGGGTTAGGTGCTTTTAGTTGTACTATGCTATGGCCCTCTAGGGTTCATATGCTGAAGCAAAAACTGAGATGGAAAGCCGCTCTATGCCTTAGAAGACAGAGAAGCTTAAGGTGGATACCAAAAACTTTGTAGTTACATAAGAGAATTTAAATGTTAACTATAACATACAAATCACATGCAAATCTCGTTACCGCTCATTTAGTTAACTATTCTCAACATACAGAAAAAGTAATACATCTGAGAGGTCATTCATTTTGAATGACGCACATCCTCAGACCTCACATCAACAATCCAGCATGTGCTAGGGGATAGTATCTCCTGGCTACATGTGGTCTTATCCAGTTCTTGTAAGCACTAAAAAGCAACCAAAGGGAGGGGGGAAAAAGCACCACTCTCAAAGTATGAAGTCAGGGAATTCCCTATCATGAAGCATTTCCCAAAAGCACCCCAAAATGACTTGATGCAAACACCACACCTAGTGGTGCCAGTGGAATAAGCATCATATTGCTTCAAGTTGTTTTTAAGTAGGCTTATGGAGGGATTTTGCTCTCACAGTGAGATCTAATTTGTAATGGGTATCAACCAGGAAATGAGATTTGCACTTAAGCCAATGAGGTGGGAATGCATTTATTCCCTAAAGCAATGGTGCACAAAGATAGTGTCACTGTCATAAAGTAGCTGTAGAATATGCTGGGAGTTCATCGTTAGTAAAAGTTAATACACTTGAAAATGATTTATCTTTTACAAATAAATTCAAGGTTATCCCTATGATGCCTGTTACTCACCTGGATTCAGACATGCTTTCATGAGGGATACAAGACAAGGTGAAACTATGCTCTAAAATATGTCGATGGCTACAAAATTCATTTGGGAGGCTCACGACTTCATTCTTTGAAACTCTTCCCACAAGATAAAATAATTCAAACTTAGTAAAAACAGAACTGAACCAGCATGCCGAAATTATGAGTTGACTTCAGTTTGGCAACACGGAAATATTAACAGTTAATAGAATTTCTTATATTATCTATAACACCAAATCTTAATTATCTATTAACGAATTCTTTGTTACTCATTTTTAATCACCAAACTCTCAACTAAATAGCCACTGAAGACTCAAAATATAAAAATATATTTATTTTTGTAAAATTATAAATAATTTCACTTTGCCCAATATAGGTCTGGCCTTTTCCCTCAGCCTCTAGAAGGTAATCTCTAAAGTCTCAGAATGTCGTGCCTAGTAAAAGTGTCCTTGTTCACCTGGAGGCTTTGGGACACACCAGAAAGTATAACAATGTGACTTATGAGGGTGAGGGGGCTTTGAGTCACATGGATCACTAAACCTCCAGAAGGTCTGGAAACTAAGTTTCTGCATGTGAGCAACTGATTATGTATGGAGTCCAAATAAAAAACTCTAGACACCAATGCTGGCGTGAGCTTCCACGGTTGGTAATACTCTGCATACTATCTGTCACACATCAACACCAAGAAAGTAATACTGTGCTCACAACTCCACAAGGAAAGGACAATTGGAAGGTCCACATTCGTAACTTTCCTGGACTGATGTAGCTGATTTTAATCTGAATCTTTCACCTGTAATAAACTGTAACCATGAGTATAACAGCTTTCAGTGAGTTCAGTAGTCCTTCTGGTGACTTAACCAACCTAAGAGTAGCCTTTGGGACCCATGAACTTGGAAATGGTATCAGAAGTAAGAGTGGTCTTATGGACATTGCTCCTTCTCACTCTGCATCTGTATTTAAAATCACTGAATATACTGTAACCCAAAATCCT